GAGAGAGAGAGAGAGACATGGACTGCTTAGCCCATTTTGGGTAAGAAGTCTACTTCTAGATCATTCAGCATTGGTCAGGGTCACACACAGCTAGGACTCCATGTCTGTATGTTAAAACCATTGCTCTCAAATTGGAAACAGTTATAAGCTGTATGCCACTGTAATTTGGTACCTGCTAGATTTCAAGCACTGACACAAAACAAGTTATATTGGGCTGTCGGAAAAGTCATGACGTATTTTTCTATGTTTCTCATTGCAAAAATGCATCATGACTTTTCTGTCAACCCAATAGAATATAGACTATTATTACTATGGGTGGGTGGGCATAGTCAACGACTTGGAGAAAAATCAATATCCAGCCATAGTTCTGCTTTTAGCCTCCTTATTTCTTTAGTATAAAACAGAGATAATCATAATTGCTTCTATCATCCTAATTTCCATCTTGCAGGGTACAGGGGGAAATGAACTGAGATTATCTATGCAAAGCGCCCAGAATATTCCTGACATATAAAAGATACTCAGGAAATGGAAGCCATCATTACTACTATTTCAATATTTTAAAAACTGAAGTAACTGTTAAGTTCTTATGAACAGGAAGATAGGGATTTGCATGCAAGACTTACATTCAGATCTCTGAAGTATTCATTGTAATCTAAGGCATAACCCACCACAAATAAGTTTGGAATCTCAAATCCAGCATCTGAGGAGAGAGAGGTTAAAAAAACAAACAAACAAACAAACAAAATTTAGATAAGTATAAATGCTATTGTTGGTACTTCAACAGTGAGGACTTTTCATTTAGGCAGAAGCACATGAGAAAAGTGATGAGCAACAACACATAGGATGAGCCCAGTAGGGACCTGGACCAGAGTAAGTGCTCAGGGTGACAAGACAAACAAGCAAACATACAATGAAGAATGACTGTACCCCTGGTATCCAGAGCTGAGGAAGGGTTCCGGCAGCCCAGTGGATAACAAGAAGTATGCATGAGTTAGTCATGTAGCCCTGTTGTTCCAAAGCAAGCTGTATCCAAAGACATTATGCCAAAGGAAAACACTCTGAAAAGCCCAAGTGCAGTTCACACAGAAGGTATTATGACAATACTGCAGTATGTGACAGGTAGGTATGCAGGCTGTTGCAACTAGAAGGCGATCCTCCCACTGTACTCAGTGTCCTCGGCCAGGTTAAGGGCTGGAAAGCAAAACCTGGGGGACACGATGAAAGGAAATGAGATTGTTCCGATTGAGGAAGAGAATGCTAAGTGTTTTTCCAATGCTAGTCTTGGAGTCCACAATGCAGATGACGCTGACGAGCACTTTATCTCTGTGAAGGGCAGAAGGAGAGTAAATGGGTTTAAATGCTGTACGAGGTACTAAGGTTAAGCAAAGGAAGAATGTAATGAAAGGTGACTTTTATTGAATAGGATACTTAAGGAAGAGACAGTAGCTCTCCTTCTTCGGAAGTCTTGAAACAGAATAAATGTGCTTATGGTCCAGTGGTTTTTCAAACTCTTTGAAGTTTTTTGGAACCTATGTTTGTTTACACAGTACTGCAGATTGAGGTGTTCTTGCTTACTTTTATGAAACTGTACTTTGGTGCAGCCAGTGGACTTAGAGCACAGAGGAAGTTATCTCCATGGTGACTGCTCACCACCATTTTGATGCCTATGACCAAAGATGCTTTCACATGGAGAAACCAACTGGTTCCTGCTCGTAGAAAGTGCTAGAGGTGAAGGGCTTATTTTCTAGAGGATTGCATTATGTGTCACTGTTAGGAAGCCCCTTTGGTCCCTTCAAACTGTAGATTCTTGAGAAAAATAATCAAAGAGGAGACACACAAGCAGAAGAAAAGATGTCATTGAGCATATAAAAAGCATTGCACGTATAGGAAAAAATCAATCAGGAGAAAGGAACAAAAGTACAAAGCCTTAGAAATCCAGGAAGGAAAAACAAACAAACAGAGTTTCTGAGCTGGCTAAAAGAATATTAGTAACCCCCAGGAAACCCCGGTTGTAGCAATAATGACTTAGAGTGAGCAATGCAAACCCGAGAAGAGGCATGGCAACTCAGACTGGGAAAAACCAGTTCAGAAAGCCAAACCTTCAGAGCTGTCATGGAATAAAAGAAGGACATTGGATGAGTAGGACTGGAGAACAGTCAAGACTCAGAGGGATCTATCTCTTGCTGGTAAAGGGGTGTAATTCCTGCACTGATATTTGCAATTGCCGATGTTACTTACAGATGTGGTGCAGCGAAAAGAGCAGTGATTGGAACCAGACTGCCTGGGTTCAATACTGACTTACACTTCCAGCTATGTGAACTTGGCAGGAGATTTAACCTTGTTGTGTCCAATTTCCTCATCTGTAAAGTGGGCATAACAATAGCACCTACCTAAGAGGAATGTTGTGAGGATTAAATGTGTCAGTCTCTGTGTAGCTCTTAGAACAGGGTTAGGCAGGTCATAACCTCATACTAGTGTGTGCTGTTATACTACTTTATTAATGGTTGCTAGAAGTGACAAGAAATTTGTAATTAGCTGGATGCATCTGAAGTGAATGTCTTTCAATTTCAGTTGAAACCTTTTCTGTACAGTACCTTAATTATTTCCTGAGAAGATTTCTGTTTACTAACCTGTCCAAGACTAACTACATCCAGAGTATATTCCCCAAGCCAGTAAAAGGACAGGAACGCACAAATGGGTCTATCTGCCCGGAACTGACATTGTATAGATTTAATACATCCAGCGTAGGAATGAATCTTGTTTTTAGAATAAAGAGTCACTGGCTAAATGTCACTGGCACATTACCCATCCATAGCATGCTTCTCTTGCTCTAATGTTTGTTCAGCTTGCTGAAGAGAACTGTAGCCAAATTATCTCAGAGGCCTTAGAGCAAATGGAAGTTATAAAAATCAAGCTGAAGTCTGCCTATGCAAGTGAAAAAAAAATCACCTCCAGTGTTATAATAATAAATAATCAAGCTACTTGTTTATCCTTTCTGCCCTAGAGGGGGAAAGTCTTCCAGAACACATGTCTGAAGTCAAGTGTGAAGATAGTATCTGGAGATAACAGCTCTGCTAATTCTCTGGTTTTTTTTTTTTGCATGAAGTTATATTTTAATTTTTTATGGCATTACAGTTGGCATACATTATATTAGTTTCAGGCGTACAACATAGTGACTGAATGCTTTTATACATTACAAAATGATCACCACAATAAGCCTAGTTACCATCTGTCATCAAAGTTATTACAATATTATTGACAACATTCCATATGCTATACATTTAATTCTTTGTGATAGTGAACTTCTGTTTGGAGGTGGTGCATCGGATTTCCCTTTCTGTGTGCTAAAATTCAGGCTCACTGAAGACCATACAATTGTGTATTGTCTGGTAACGGTTCCCAGAGATGGCATATGAGAATCCCTCTACACCTTTACAGTGCCTCTCCATGTCCAACTGGTGGGGACAGTGGCCAGGGCAGGAATCATGTGTGTCCAACTCAGTCCAGTGAGGTAAAGTCTCCCTCCACCTCCTGAAACTTATTAGCTGAGTTCTTTGGAGGTAAGGTGCTATGGAAAACCTAAAAATCAAAATATCCAGGGCTGCCCAGGTAGCACAGTTGGTTAAGAGGGTGAATTCTGAGTAACAGGGTCACCAGTTCGACTCCCACATGGGCCAGTGAGCTGTACCCAAGCTGAGCTGCCAATGGGCAGCCGGATGGCTCAGCTGATGAGAGCACGTGCTCTTGACAACAAGGTTCCTAAGCCTCCCACACGGGATGGTGGGTTGTGTCCCCCCCCCCGCAACTAGATCAAAAGTGGTGACTGGACTTGGGGCTGAGCTTGCGTCCTCCACAACTAAGACTGAAGGACAATGACTTGACTTGGAGCTGATGGGTCCTCGAAAAATACAATGTTTTCCTTCCCCAATTCCCCATAAAATCTTAAAAAAACACAAAAACAAAAACCCAATATATCCATGCACACAATCCAGTTCCTGTGAAAGATATAAACTAGAAGTAAGCCCCTTGTTGTAAAGAGATCTATTCTTACTAGTAAGGCTGGGGAGACCACGGGGAATTTGTGGGAGTACCAGTCCTATGCAGCCCCCACTTCACATGGAACGCCGTCAAATAGGAATTTCTTAAACACAAACCACCACCGCCAACCAACCCATCAAAGGACAGAAACCAAAAACACTTACAGTCAGGTCTAAAGCCATCACTTCTAGGTGTTCTCTTCACCAACAAACTACCATTAAACAAACAAACAAACAAACGTTAGTGATCCAAATAAAATCTGTGAATTGCAAATAGAATCAAACATCATTAAAATACTTCTTTAAAATGTGCTTTTTTCCGCTTGAGCAGGTGGGCATGATCACTGCCCTCTAACTCATGCTTCTGCTACTGTGGCACCACTTCAGTGATTCTGGATTAAAAAAGGTGGGGGGGGGGAGGACTGGCACGAGGGCCCAGCCTGCTGCTCCTGGAAACAGCTAGAGGCACAGAAAGGAGGGGCTCAGTCACACCAAAACATGTCCTTTTCGCTTTCCTCTCTCTCAGGCAAGCTGTCAAATCGGCTATTTGTTCAGTGTGGTCAAACCGTAACACTTCAGAGCAAAGCGTCGCTGGTTTGGGGTAGACTGCACATTTTGAAAACAGCACCCTGTGTTAGCATCCCTCTTGGACATGTTCGAAAAGACAGAAACAAGGACGATGTGATGGTCCTACTCACCTGGCCACCTTAACCATGTTGGGCTTGTATTTCTCTATGCTACTGAGCAGCGCTTTCATGGTTCTTCCCGTTCCAACAACATCCTTTGCAAAGAGGACAAATTCAACCAAATGTATTTGAGCAGCATAATAGATTTTTCATCCAGACAGATAATTATATTCCTTATTAATAATGCATCATAATTAGAATTGCCATCAAATTGGAATGAAAGTAGAAAGCAGAGTTGGTTATATTTTTTTAGGCAGGTGCTTCCTTCTGGGCTATGGGGAATATATTGGTATTCTTTGAATCCTTGAGCTGTGTTACAAGGCTAAATTCGGCCTTTGGAGAGCATGTGTGGCTCCTGATTGAGTACATTTGGACTCGTGCACATGTATTCAAGGACTAAATTTGGCCCCGAGGTTACATAGTACAATACAGGATGCATGAATTTTCATGGCCATGGGAGGTACATCTGAATACACTGAATGGATAAACACCTTCCCCTTGCCCTCCCCATTCAATAGGGGGCTCTAAGCCTGGGAAGTGAGAGGTGTCTGGACGGCAGCTGGTGACAGCCCTTGAATTCTGAGGGTGCGAGGCTGCAATGAGCTGAGGCTCATCTCCGCTGATGAGCTGCTGCGCAATTAGAGTAGAATGGGCAGCACAAATTTATTGTCCTCGGGACAGAAATCAGCTGTCAGGAGCTGATTATCAAAACAAGAGGTCTGAATTTAACCAGGGTCGGGCAATTGGTATAGCTGGAGGGGCCACTTCACGGGTTATGTCTGAGCCAGAACTGCACATGCATACGGCACCCACAGGCCACTGTGGAACAAAAGCTTGAAAATGGCGCCCTTGAATTTTTGCCATCTGATAAGACAGGTGTGCTGCTGAAAGAAACATGGACACTTGCTGTATTAGTCTACTGCTGCCATAGGGACTGTTTTTTTCTCTCCTCTCTTCCTTCCTCCCTTCTTCTTTCTCTTCCTCCCTCTCTCGCTCCCTGCTCCCACCCCTTCGTTCTTTCTTTTCTTAAACACACAAAAAAAACCAATTAAATTAAATCATAGCTTTGCTTTGGATTGCCATTTTAAAATTGACTGTATTTTTTATTTGGATGCTGAAGGTAGACTTGATCGAGGTCATTAGCAAGAACTCTCACTTTAAGGGGAAGAGAGTTATATATAATCTTGGCTGTACTATTAAATAAATTGGGTTCTCAGGGCTAGTTTACTCTTTTGTAAAAATGTCTGATTCACAAGTAGGCATAAAAACCAATTTGGACAGTGTGAAATGAGATATAAAAGGACAAAGTACCACAGAACTGGCAAAGCTTTTTTTTCTTTGTTATTTCAAGTCCGAGATTTTAGTTGGCTTCTAGTCAATAAATCTGGACAGCCATATGCACCGTAGGAATCCAATAAATCCCTGGCCAATTCAATAACAAGTTCTATATTTTAAAACTCACCGTTAGAGTCTTTCAACTTTCAAATACAGATAAGGAAAAGTCAGCTTACCTCAACAATAAGGACATTCTGAAAAACAAACACCAGTTATTTAGACGATGATGCAAATCTGGCTCACAAGATAAACACACATTTTGATTACAGTTGGAATTTCTCAATTTGCTCAGCTGGACCTCCCCCCTCTATCTAACCCAAATGCTTTGAGACAATCTAGGTGTTCCAGACTAATTTCAACGGTCTTGCTGGAATTACTTGGGTTCCAATATCAATATCTATATTCAGGCTAGGAGCAGGCTTGTCTTAGACTCTGTTACCTGTCTGAGGAACTTCCCATAAAGTGACCCCATCTCCATAATTATGGCAAGTGCCCCACCCAGCATTCTTCAGGATACAAAGCTTACTATGCATTTACCAGGAAAACAAAGCTGACATAAACTGCATTGCTAATAGAGACACTGCTCAGTAGAGGGATCGTATTACATATTCAGCTGTGACAGAGCTAATCCTGAATAGCTAACAAAATCACTGGGGATTCTGTACTTATTCTTGAATTTTCAACCCCGGGGAAGGGGGTGGGTTTTGGGAGAGGGCTGTGAAGTGCCTGGTTTATGATTTTAGCGACATGGTGAGGTTCATTACTATGTGCTCTCAATACACGCATTCATCGACTTCTCCCCTAAGAACACTGATTATGTTTCATTTTAATTTCTTGTTTGATACCTGTCTTCACCACTAGACTATAAAGTCCATGAGGGTGGGAATCATGTTTGTCTAGGTTACTATGTATCCTCAATCCCCACCATAAATACCTGGAGATAGATGCTCAGTAATTCTTTGTTGAATGAAGGAATAATAACTGATTATACTTATTAATGAGTTAAAATCAACCAATTAAATGGATTAGTAGTTACATGTCAATACTGTCCCACCAAATTAAAATACGACTGTGTTAATATGCCATTCCAATTAACTAAATGGTGTGGACAGTCCCTCAGTGTAATGGTATCTTTCTTTAGATGACCTTTCATTTATCCCTATGATTCGTATAATACTTTAAAAATTACATCAAGCCTTGCACCTTAGGTATCTTATTTATAGCTAATTCAAAAGAGATTTAAGGAATAAAAATGTTAACCAACCAACCAAAAAGTCTGTTAAATTTGCACCATGTTACTTTATGTGTCAAATGCATTCTGAGGTGGAATTCTTTCTGGAAGTGTTTCTCTTGGGTATGGTATTTTATTTAGTCATTAAGTTCTCCAAAAATCTTAATTTTGCCATTAAACTGTAAGATTATTTTGTCCATTTTTAAAGTAGGTCATGCTCCCAGTATCCTCTCTACCCAAGAATCACACTGAGGACTCCCCTTGGTATTCTAAACACATTTACTATGATCTTAACCATGAACCTATACTAGTTATTTAGGATGTGCATTTTTAGTTTGATGGAGGCTGACCAACGCCTATTAACCAAACAGAATACTTGGAGATAATTGGTTAATTTAATTTTCTGGTTTACAATCTCTTTTTGTTTCAGTCTGACAATGAAAAACCTTTCTAAACTCTTGTTAGTCTGCATTTTTGCCTAATTAAGTAAAGTGCACAGATTGTAATTAAATCTGTTTTTTGAAAGTTCAGAACCTTGCAAAACAAGAGTCGTCTTTGGAAAGATTATCATCAACTGTAAGATAAAGTAGTGGCTAAGAAGTAGGACTTGGATGTGTACTAATCCAGAGATATATTGTCAAAATTACTTAAACACATCTAAAACTAAGGGTAATGCATACACAAGTTCAAAATCAAATAGAAAAGTCTATTTTCTAAACGTTGAAGATTGCCTGTTTAAAGTATTTTAAGATGCTTATGTACTTTAAAATAAAGGTTATCATGACATTTTTTATTATGCATAGTTAAACATTGTCACATCTAATAAAATGACAATTTCTTTTAAAAAGATTTTTATTAAAAATATAGCTAATATACAATATTATATTAATTTCAGGGGTATGCCATAGTTTTCAACATTTATATACCTAAAGAAGTGATCACCATGATAAGTCCAGCAACCATCTGACACTGTACCACGCTATCACAATATCACGTACTATGCTGTACATTACATCCCCACGACTTATTTGTTTTATACATGAAAATTTAGACCTCTTAGTCCCCTTCACCCTTTCCGCCCTTTTTAATTTTTTCAATTACAGTGGAAACTCAATATTATTTTATTTTAATTTTGGGTGTACAGCAGAGTAGACATGCATATAATTTAAGAAATGATCCCCCTAACTAGTCTAATACCCACCTGACATTATACTCAGTTATTGCAATATCATTGACTATATTCCTGATGCTTTACTTTGCATCCTCATGACGATTTTGTAACTACCAATTTGTGTTTCTTAATCCCTTCACCTTTTTCACCCTGCCCCCAACCCCCTCCCATCTATCACCACAACACATCTAGTACCCGTCTGACACCATACATACTTATTACAATATTATTGACTATATTCCTTATGCTATATCCTACATCCCAATAACTACTTTGTAACAACCAATTTATACTTCTTAACCCCTTTCCCTTTTTTCACCCTCACCCACAACACCCCTCCCACCTGGCAACCATCAAAATGTTCTCTGTATTTATGAATTTTGTTTTGTTTTGTTTCTTTCGTTCTTTAGATTCCACATATAAGTGAAATACATCAGCACAATACCCTCCAAGTCCATCTATGCCACCACAGATGGCAAGAATACATTCCTTTCCAAGGCCAAGCAATATTCCATTGTATGTATGTACCACCTCCTCTTTATCCATTCTTCCATCTACCGTTGACACCCAGGCTGCCTCCACATCTTGGCCATTGTAAACAATGCTGTAATGAACATATGGATGCACATGTTCCCTTGAAGTAGCATTTTGGGTTACTTCAGATAAATAATCAGAAGTGGGATTACTGGGTCCTTCTTTGTCTCTTCTTATAGCCTTAGTGTTAAAGTTTATTTTGTCTGGCATAAGAATTGTTACCCCATCTTTTTTAGGTTTTTGGGTGTTTTTTCATTTCCATTTTCATGAAATAACTTCTTCCATACCTTTACTCTCCATCTCTGTGTGTCTTTCAATCAGAAGTGAGTCTCTTGTAGGCAGCATATGAGGTCGGACAATTAAGTTCACGAACTTGTTGAAACAATATTGCTAACCTTTTTTGATATCAGAGGTGTTATTCATTATGAATTTGTACCAACTGGACCAACAGTTAACCAAGTTTACTATTTGGAAGTGCTGAAAAGGCTGTGTGAAAAAGTTAGATGAAAACGACCTGAACTTTTTGCCAACAATCCATGGCTCTTGCATCACGACGATGCATGAGCTCACACAGCACTGTCTGTGAGGGAGTTTTAAGCCAGTAAAATCCATTCACATTGAAAGTAATTGTTGATAGATATGTAGCTATTGCCATTTTATTATTCAGAATTTTGATTTTTTTTTTCCTATCTTAAAAAAGTCCCTCTAACATTCCTTATAATACTGGTTTGGTGGTGATGAAATCCTTTAGCTTTTCCTTGTCTGGGACTCTCTTTATCTGTCCTTCAGTTTTAAATGATAGCCTTGCTAGCTTAGAGCAGTCTTGGTTGTAGATCCTTGTTATCATCACTTTGAATATTTCCTGCCAATCCCTTCTGGCCTGCAAAGTTTCTGTTGAGAAATCAACCGACAATCTTATGGGAGCTCCCTTATAAGTTACTAGTTGCCTTTCTCTTGCTGCTTTTAGGATTCTCTCTTTGTCTTTAACCTTTGCCATTCTAATTATAATGTGTCTTGGTGTGGGCTTATTTGGGTTCATCTTGTTTGGGACTCTCTGTGCTTCCTGGGCTTGTATGTTTATTTCCTTTGCCAGGTTAGGAAAGTTTTCAGTTATTATTTCTTCAAATAGGTTCCCAATCCCTTGCTTTCTCTCTTCTGATACCTCTATGATATGAATGTTGTTACATTTGATGTTGTCCCAGAGGTCTCTTATTAAACTATCCTCATTTTTTTTTTTGGATTCTTTTTTCTTTTTGCTGTTCCGAATGGGTGTTTTCTGCTACCTTGTCTCCCAAATCGCTGATTTGATCCTCTGCTCCATCTAGTCTGCTGGCGATTCCTTCTAGTGCATTCTTCATTTCAGCTATTGTAGTCTTTACTTGGTTTTTTTTTTAACGGTTTCTATGTCTTTTTTTACACTTGCCATCTCTTTGTTGAAGTTTTCACTAAGTTCCTGGAGCATCCTTATGACCATTGTTTTGTACTCTGTATCTGGTAGGTTGTTTGCCTCCATTTCATTTAGTTCTTTTTCTGGAACTTTCTCTTGTTTTTCAAGAGAACAAGATGCGGAATTGTTTCCGCATTTTGGCTGCCTCTCTGTGTTTGTTTCTATGTATTAGGTAGATCTGCTCTGTCTCCAGTCATGGCCACGTGGCCATATGCCCTGTGGGGGCCCTGGCACAATCTCCCTGGTCATCTGCTCCAGGTGTTCCAGGACTGTCCCTTGTGTGGGTTGTGTGTGCCCTCCTGTTATAGTTGAGCCTTGATTGCTATTGACATGTCAGGGGGTGAGACTGACCCTCAGGGTGATTGGCTGTGAGGTTCAGCTTACGAGCTGCTGTGTGGGGGGTTTACCCCACTGATCTGGATTCACCCCAGTGGGCTCTGTTATCTGTTGAGACCGCTCTTTGGGTGTGCAGCTTGTGGGGCTAATTGGACGGTGCTCTGAAGCCAACTTCCAAGTGTGTTGGTTTTGGGGCCTCTTTGGAGGGACTCCGGTGCATGCCAAGGTCACCCACTGCCTATGACTGGCTGGAAGCTGTCTGGTAAGAGCTACAAAGTGATCTGCAGTAGTTTGCTACCTATGCTAAACCTAGAGGCACATGGGTGAGGCCATGCTGTGAACTAAGGACATCTGCCAACAGTGCCTGGCCTGGGGTAGCTCCAC